GTTGAGAAAAATCTCTGTACTTGCGAAGCATATGCAGCTTCAACAGTAATCCTCTGTCTCTCTCCTTCAATCAGAGTGCCATCTGAGCTCTCTTCTGAAAATCTGCTTGTTTCTTCTGGTTCAAATCATGCTAACACAGCAATAAATAGCAACTCTTTACCCAGTTAAAGGATCACATTATAGGGCACAGTAACCCCAAACTAAGTCCTCACCATTCCTAAAATGGACTTATAGTGTGACTTTGAGCAATGTAGCAAAGTCAGTTTTATCTGATGGAAAATAAGTTTTCAGTCACAAAAATTACCAAAGGCATGAAGCTACTCTTCATAAGAAAGCAGCTTATGTGACCAATTACCCCTACGTGATTAGAACTCCATTTTATTTTTTCTTCTTTTGTTTAAGATGCTCTACTTAGTCATATGTTTGGCAGCCAGAGCATACAAAATCACATTTGCTATTCAAAAATTAATTTATTTGGGTCTGTGTGTTTATCAGATATTCCAGGAATCTTGTGTTGATTAAAGGATGTATATTTTGAAAATGGATGGATACGGGCTGGAGCAATATCACAGTGGCTAGGGCGTTTGCCTTGTATGCGACCAACCTGGGTTGAATTCCCAGCATCCCATATGGTTCCCTGAGCACTGCCAGGGGTAATTCCTGAGTGCAGAGCCAGAAGTAACCCCAGTGGATTGCCGGATGTGATCCAAAAATCAAAAAAAAAAATAGGTGGATAGGAAGGAATTGATCATCCTTAAAACAAAAGAATGATTTTTTAAAAAATTTTTCCTTTTTTTATTAGTGAAACACCATGAGGTACAGTTGTAGATTTACAATTTTTTGTGCTTGGGTTTGGTTATACAATGATCAGATACCCATCCCTCCACCAGTGCCCATTTTCCACCACCATGGATAATATCCCCCCAACCCCCATCCCCCTATCCCCCCCTGCCTCTGTGGCAGGGCAATCCCCTGTGTTCTCTCTCTCCTTTTGGGTGTTGTGGTCTGCAAAAGAGGCATTGAGTGGCAAACATGTTCAGTCCATAGTCTACTTTTGACATGCATCTCCCCTCCTGGGAGGATCCTCCAAACACCCTTTATTTGGTGTTCCCTTCTCTATCTGAGCTGCCCTTTCCTCTAGAATGCCTGACTGGCCACGAAGCTATGGAGTAATCCTCCTGGTGCTGATCTCAGATATTCTTGAGTATTAATCTCATATTTTGTTACTTTATATCCCCCAGATGAATGCAATCTTTCTATGTCTATCCCTCTCTTTCTGACTCATTTCGCTTAACATGGTACTTTCCATGTTGTACCACTTGTATGTAAATTTCATGACTTCATCTTTTCTAACAGCTACATAGTACTCCATTGTGTAGATGTACCAAAGTTTCTTTAACCAGTCATCTGTTCTTGGGCATTCAGGTTTCTTCCAGTTTCTGGCTATTGTAAAGAGTGCTGCAATGAACAAACAAGTGCAGATGTCACTTCGACTATACATTTTTGCCTCTCTGGGATATATTCCCAGGAGTGGTATTGCTGGGTCAAATGGGAGCTCAATTTCTAATTTTTTGAGAATCGTCCATACTGTTTTCCAGAAGGGCTGAACCAGTGGACATTCCCACCAACAGTGAAGGAGTGTCCCTTTCTCGCCATATCCGCACCAGCATCGGTTGCTTTTGTTCTTTTGAATGTGGGCCAGTCTCTGAGGTGTGAGATGGTATCTCATTGTGGTTTTGATCTGCATCTCCCTGATGATTAATGATGTAGAGCATTTTCTCATGTGCTTTGATGCCATTCAGATTTCTTCTTTGAGAAAGTTTCTGTTCATTTCATTGCCCCATTTTTGGATGGGGTTGGATGTTTTCTTCTTGTGGAGTTTAACCAGTATTTTGTATATCCTGGATATCAACCCCTTGTCAGATGTGTATTTGGCGAATATCTTTTCCCATTCTGTAGACTGTCTTTGTATTTTGGTCACTGTTTCTTTGGAGGTGCAGAAGCTTCTTATTTTAAGATAGTCCCATTTATCTATCTCTGTTTTCACTTGCTCAGTCAGTGGCGTTGCATCTTTGAAGATACCATTAGCTTCAATGTCATGGAGGGTTTTATCAACTTTGTCTTCAATGTACCTTATGGTTTCTGGTTTGATGTTGAGGTCTTTAATCCATTTTGATCTTACTTTTGTACATGGTGTTAGGCAGAGTTCTGAGCCCATTTTTTTGCATGTAGCCAAAAACAAAAGAATGATATACAGTGTGGATGACTACATGGATTATTCTGTGTAACATGAACAGATTAATGAAACATGGAGATTTAGCAAGAGTTTCGGCCCTAGGTCTTAAAATTGGAGGATTGATTAGACCAATTGTACTGAGCAGAGTTTTTAGAATTCACAAAGAAGGCTATACCATAGAAAACCACATTTGTGTATTATTTCAATAAGCTGTGCTCAGGGCTTTCTCCTGACCGTGCACTCAGGGATCACTCATGGCTAGACTTGAGGGTGTCTATGTGTAAGTAGACTTGAGGGTGTCTAGGGTTGAACCTGAGTACAGGGTATTCAGGATTGAACCTCAATTGTCTTTCTTCAGGTAAGCACTTTCCACTGTATTATTGCTTCAGCCCCAGAAAACAGAATCTTAGTACAGAAATCAGTGAAAGAAAAGGAAGAGAAGGAAGGATGTAAAGGAAAGGAAGAAAGGAAAGAAAAGGAAGGATTTTTTTATTTTAACTAGAAACTTTTCACAGTTTTATGTGGTATCAATTTCCCAAAGACAGAAAATGTATTTTTATTTAAATATAATGAGCTGAAAGTTGTCTCCTGTGTAATTCATTTTAAAATCATACATTTAACATCTCTGTCACTGTCACTGTCCTCCCGTTGTTCATCTATTTGCTCGAGCGGGCCCAGTAACGTCTCCATTGGAGACTTTGTTGTTACTGTGTTTGGCATATTGAATACATCACGGGGAGCTTGCCAGGCCCTGCTGTGCGGGCGAGATACTCTTGGTAGCTTGCCGGGCTCTCCGAGAGGGGCGGAGGAATTGAACTCGGGTTGGCCATGTTGGCTGTGTGCAAGGCAAATGCCCTACAACTGTGCTATCGCTCCAGCCCTGGTTAGTACATTTAACATGTTGATAATAAATCAATGCTAGTAAAATGTTTGAGAGAAGTTATTTTAAAGAAGGCAGTTGAAGTCTGTTTTTCTCTCCAGTCATGTAAGCGATCTCATTTCCTTGTAAGGTAAACTAGCCTGAGTGCTCTTGATCAGTTTGTGTTGCATTTGATCATTTGGTTTTATTCTATTTTCTTTCTGTACATCTACCTCTCCCAAATAATAAAATGTTTGAGTAAAAAAAAAACAGAAAAGAAGCTTTAAGGCATTTTTATATGAAGCAGTTTAGACCCTGCCTAGGGAAATAATGGGAATTCAAAAGAGGAGAGGACTCTGGATTCCTCTTATGTTTGACTTTATTTTGAGATTTAAAATTTGGTAAAAGATGGAGCAAGTTAAGTTTTTACCATGTATGCTGGAAAATGCCAGTGACACATGTTAATTAAATAACATGATGAGTTGCCAACAAACTGAGAAATAAGGTAGTAGATACAATGCACTGAATTTAATGTACTGATGCTAAGGCACTTAGAAATATGAACTAGGGGAAAATCTGAAACCCAAGAACCTGTAAAACAGATAATAAGAGAAGGAAACAAAAACTGAATGTTGCTAAAATTTTACCTGGTTTATGTGGGCTAAGTCTTTATTATTTTGTTGTTGTTATTGTTGTATTCAATGTACTCAAATGTTTAATAGGCACTCACTTGCTATAAGTACATACCCCTTGTCCTTTGTAAAAGAGCTATAGTATTCAGGTTAGAAGAAAAATGTTTCCCTACTGGAGCCTTTATGAATGTGTTCATTGTTCCATAGGTAACATTCTGGATCATGGTTGAGAAATCTGCAATCATAATATAGAATAATACCACTGACAAAATTTGTGAACATATATACCCGGCAGATATTACCTTTTGTAGTTTTTACTTTTTTAAACTTTAGCTGCCTGTAATTACTGATTTTTAAGAACAATTTTTATTGTAAATACCCTGTGACATAGTAGAGTATTGTTTCTCATTGTCCTTATATTCATGAGAAAGTTGAGGTTCAAAAAGATTAAAGTAGAATTAAAGTTCACAAGACAATGTAGGACATAGCAGCAACTGAAAACTAGACAGTGTAATTTCAAAATTTTGAAGATATGCCTGTATAATAAAGAAATAATGCAGTGAACAAAAACATCTACTAATTATGCCACACATAATTTGGGAACAAGTAGATTTGGGAACAAGAGAAAGAAGACATATTGGATAGGAGACATAGTGTGGCAGGCAGGGTGTTTATCCAAATTCCAGCCTGGCACAACATATAGATCCCCAAATGTTACCTATACTCACAAAGCCAATGATAAGCCTTGAACACTACCAAGTGTGGTCCAACAGTCCCTAATCCAAAAGAAAAATAAAAAATAAAGAATTAAAAGATATATTCAACCATTTCTATATTCTCATTGATTCACTGAGTCATTTATGAGATTAGAAAAAATGTATTGGAGATTAATGGTAAATGTAAAACGTATATAGAAAGGGTTCTTTGAAGAAAAGGTGATGGCAAAGGAATAGCTACAAATCAAAGATGTCTGGCTATTAAAGGTATGTTGGGGCATACTTTTGGTGCCAAGATTTAACTGAAAAATAGAGATGCCTTGTTGGTCTAAGGAAAATCTTAGTGTGGTCAACAATATACTTAGAAGCCATGTTCTACTTATAACATTTTTCTCTCTTATTTAGCAAATAATGTTCATGGAGTAGTAATGCAAATACTGCTAAATATTATGTGCTTTGTTAGAAAGGCCAATAAGTGTGAATCACTTTCAAGTTGCCTACTGGCTTATGAATTGGTGCTGTTTTTTTTTTCTAATAACAGCCTTTTCTATTTCCAGCAGTCCTATGCACCAGCTCCCCACCCCATGGCTCCTCCCAGCCCCAGCACAAACAGCAGCAGCAACAACAGCAGCAACAACAGCAGCGGGGAACAGTTGAGTAAAACCAACCTATACATTCGAGGCCTTCCACCAGGCACCACTGACCAGGACCTAATCAAGCTATGCCAACCGTAAGTGCCCATTTACTCTCTACATCATTGTTTGTCCCAAATGTTTTCTCATATGGGCTCAGTCTGCATAGCACTCTGGTTTTTAATCAATGTACCCACTGATCAGTGCATCTATTTAGTGGAAAACTCTGCCACATAAAATGAGCTTAAATGTTTGATATTAGTAACTTATTTTTTGCCACAAAATGGTTGTTTTAGAAAATTCAAGGAAATCTTGAGTACACATGCATGGAGGTATTGGCCACATGCATGTATTGACTAAGAAGTTGATGAGTAAACATTGAGTTGGGATCTGAAATCTTTTGCCTGGTAGAATTGATGATGAGTCGCATGATATATAATGCTTTTGTGAGAAGAGCATTCATGAAAGCAATCTCAAGAAACTGAGAAGTAGTCAGTTTCAGGTTGGTTATCCCTGATTTGCAAAGCTTTATAGTTCAATTGTTGGTAAACATTCTGATGGGATCAGATAAGTGTGTAATTATAAGGTTTATTCTCTATTTTCCTTGGAAAGAACTACTTCAAAGTTCTATGAAGTTCTTTACCCCTAGGTCAATAATTGAACTCCCAGGTAATTTTCTTAATTTCCTAGCAAATATATTAGTGTTTAAATGTCCTTCCAAACTGTTTTCATTTAATCTATTATCTACTAGCACTTACACTATTAACTCTCTTTTTTCCTGTGCAAAAGATTAACTGTTTTTAAGTTTTCCCTCCAAAGAATGTAACTAATGAATTGAAATAATTTTCTAATCTGTATTTTTAGATTGTTGTCTGAATAGTTTCAAAGTAATAGTTGCACAGTTATTTGTCATTTGATTGAAACTTAACTGGGTATTTTTGCATTTTGTGAAACTATTACTCAACTGTTCCTTTTTCCCCTCTCTTTTGCAATGCTTTTATAAGATGGTTGAAAAGCTGTTTATCTTGTAAATTTTCCAACCTCTAAAATATTTGAATAGGAAAACAAAGCAAACAGTATTTGTTTGCCTTTGTTCTGGATTTTAAGGTTGGGAGTAAATATCAAAACAACAGGAAGTGACAGATAAACCAAAACACAAATACATAACTATATAGTCAGTTGACAAGTCAATATGTAGATTAGGCAAGAGTTTCTTATGCTGTTCACTGACTGTCTTTATTTATATAGGAGATAAGACAGAACTTCAAACTGTGTTTATTGAAAACTTGTTTACATAACAGAAATGTGCTAGGACTAAGTCATGACCCATAAAATGTTGAGGTTAAATATTGGAAAGTAAATAATTCCACTTTTTCTTACTGTTAGAAAAATACAAACTATAGCACAGCGGGTAGGGCGTTTGCTTTGCACGCAGCCAACATGGCCGACCCGAGTTCGATTCCTCCGCCCCTCTCGGAAAGCCCGGCAAGCTACCGAGAGTATTCGATATGCCAGACACAGTAACAATAAAGTCTCCAATGGAGACGTTACTGGGCCCGCTCGAGCAAATCGATGATCAACGGGAGGGCCTTTACTTTACTTTTTACTTTGAAAAGTAAGGTCTTTGAAAAGATAATGAATTGCTTGTTTTCTGTTAGATGCTTCAGAAGAATCTCCTGTAATGGAAGTAGATTTGGAAAAGCACAGTAGCTATTATCCTGGATTTAGCATATGAATTTCACTCATTAAAAAATGCTGGTGTTATTGCACAAGTACTTTTTTGTTTTATATGGCTCAGAGAACTTGTTTTAACAAAGACTAAATGTAACCTAAGAGTATGTACTACTGTCCCGATTTGTGCTGGTGGGTAATTCTCTTCTCTGCAACAATATAAACACTACCAAGACTTCTAATGCATGGAGTTTATATGAAAGCATTTGATGTTGAATTTTATGGATTAGTACATTTTCAGTGGCTCTGTGATCTTCATGCAAATCACTTTCTTTTGAATTTCATATAAAAATGGGTTAAGGTTGATTATTTCTATTTTTCCCTGAAATATCTATGATGTGCTAGAGCCACCTTGATTAATGGATTAAAACCCATTCTTACCTATTCAGAAATTCTGTAAATTATTTTTTATAAACTTGGATGAGCCTTGGAGGAATATTTCTAATATCACTACACTGTAGCACTGTCCTCCTGTTGTTCATCCATTTGCTTGAGCAGGCGCCAGTAACATCTCATGTCTCCAATGTGAGACTTGTTACTGTTTTTGGCATATCAAATATGCCATGGGAAGCTTTCCAGACTCTGCCATGCAGGCGGGATACTCTCAGTAGCTTGCCAGACTCTCTGAGAGGGACAGAGGAATCTAAAACCCGGGTCAAATGCTCTACCCGCTGTGCTATCACTCCAGCCCAATTTATTTATAGTACAATAATCAATAAGTCCTACAAACCTGAGCACATTATTTTTTTTCTTTTTGGAAAGCTGGTTTATGAATATGTCATTTATGTGACATCATACTATGAATTCTGAGTCATTATCCATTTCTGGGTATGATCTTACCAGAAATCTGTAAAAAGAAAATGTGACCTTATAGCTTATGTTGACATTTTTAACTCAGGAAAGAGATGTGCTCATATAGATACTTAGTTACTGAATAATTGTTTTGTTATTGTTTCCTACATGTATATGACAAGTTTGAAGTATATAGAATGAACTTAGGTTGAGAGATACTTGTTACTATTCTTCTAGCTAGTAAAGCCCAGCCCATGCTACAGGCATTATTAACTTATTGGTGAATTCTCTGGTTCCTATAGTGATCTAAATTTATTACTTAAATTCTTATTTTCTAGACAATCTTACACAATAGTGGAATTAAGTAAACTAAAGGATCTAAATTTCAATCTTGACTGCATTGTTTGAGGCCATAGACACATGACTTACCGACCCCTTCATGATTTCCCCTTTGTATGGAATATTATTTTTGAGCTCCTATTGTTTTAAAACTTATTTTGCTCTAAAACACTTACAGTTCATTGAGGCCCTCATTCTTTGGCACTAAAATCTGTGCTGGATCTCTCTTACAGTTTGAATTGATCCAGTGTGGTTGGAGATATCTTTATTAGCATATCATATAAGTTGATTATAAGATTTTGTTTCCTCTTTTATAAAGTGGGTATTATTGGGGTAAAGAGGAAATTTTCTCCTATTTGTGTTCTCAGACAATCAAATTAATATCAAATAAATTAGATGATTGAAATATATGTGAGAATCTACATATTTGCAATTTCTAAAATCGGTGGGACAAAGTGAGAATATGAACTCTTAGCTAATGCATAGAATGAGGACATGAAGTTTCTAAAGAGAGGATGGGGTACTCATATGATGAAGAGAGCACGATTCATGTGAGGAAGACCATATGCTCTGTAATTAGATGTTTGACTTACCATATGGATAAGTTTCTCCTATAGAAAGGTTATTTCTGGTAAAAGTTTTACTTTTGGGTGATATACTTATTTTCCTTCTTAAAGGTAGTCAAGGAATGAAAAAATATTTTTGTGAGCTATGTGGCCTTGGTTGAACTCATTTGGGGAAAAAAATCCATATACCAAAGCAGTACGTCTTGTGAAGGGCTCCCTGAACATCTTAGCGAGGCCTAGTCTTCAGCTCTTAAGTGCTTATTTTTATTTTATACTAACAGTCTTCAATGTGTTTCAGTGATTTTGTTTTATTATTATATGTACATCACTTTGGGCTGGAGAGATAGCACAGCAGGTAGGGCATTTGCCTTGCATGCAGCTGACCGGGATTCGATTCCTCTGACCTGGATTCAATTCCTCCATCCCTCTCAGAGAGCCTAACAAGCTACCAGGAGTATCCCACCCACACAGCAGAGCCTGGCAAGTTCCCCAAGGCACCTGTGATATGCCAAAATCAATAACAACAAGTCTCACAATGGAAGCATTACTGGTGCCCTCTCGAGCAAATTAATAAACAACGGGAGAACAGTGCTACAGTGCTACATCATTTTAAAATAGTTTCACCAACAAAATTTAACATTTTTCAGTTTGTATGAATTTGCAATCAGGATCCATTTTTATTTCTTGCAAATTTCTAAGTTCTGTTAGAACTACTATTTCCTTTAAGGAAATACAATATTTGCTACTATTCATAGTAATAAAATAAAAAAAAACAGGCCTGCAAAAATGCATAGATATATCAAATTATCTGATATTATAAAACAATATCCAGTTAATTCTATTAAACAGTAAGAAAATGATATTAAAGTCAAGAAATTGCATTGTTTCTCAGTGATAATCTGCAAGCTAATTGTTATTAAGAGATTTCATTCACATTCATCACTGAAGATCATAGGTTTAAACTGCAAGTAGAATCAAACAAAAGAGGACTGACGAACAATAGGAATGAGGAATGATTTTACTCTATAGAAAGGTATGCCTATGTTTGAGATAAATCTACATTGTTTACCTGGTAATAAGTTCTTTAATAAAGACCTTGCAATATAATTTATCTTGAAAAATATCAAGAAATTTGATTTGCGCTCCATTGAAGCTTATTTACAGAACTGCTACAGAATGGCAGATAGTTTGCTAAAGATTGAAGGGTGAGTAAATTTAAACAAAAACTTGCTTATTAGAGCTGTTAACTTGTTGGAATAAATATTAATCAGTTAAATTCTATAAATTTGGTATAAAATAGAAACTATAGGAATAACAATAAAAGAAGATTAGGTATATATAAAAAGTGATAATACCAGGTAGGGTAGAGAATAAAGACATATCTGAGGAACTGACACATTTAATATTAGAGGAGATATAGATTTAACAAAATGAGGAAGAGAGAAGAAAATTCTAGGCAGATTAAGGACAAGAGCCTCAATAAAGTTCAGTGGGTTGATGGCAAAGAGAAAGTTGAAATATGGGGCAAAATGAGCTGCAAGCACCAAGAAAGATAAATTTATATATATATTGGATAATGGGAATGTTTCTTGGGAAGTAGAGGAGATCCTCCACCCCTCCACCTCCAGTTGGGGAGAACATAGCATAGGACGGCTCATTATATAGGTTTT